GCAAAGTGCTCTGGGAGGCTTTGGGCCAAAGGTGCTGGGGGAGGGGTAAAAGGACTGGTCTTAATGGCAGGAATTCTAAGGGCTGAAGCCTGATGACCTTTAACCTGGGAGGCAGATGCTGGGAGGGCCAGAGCGGCAGGCTGCTTGGACAACCCCAGTTCCCTCTGCACTAGTAGGCTGGGTAGGCAGGAGGATCACAGAGAACCAGACTGGCTGCCTGAAGGCACCTGACTGGTCCAGAAGGTAGACCCTCGCGCCTGGAATCCGAACTCAGGGTGGCACAGATCTGGGCGGGGCCAGCTAGTAGGTGGGCTGAGATGAAACAAAGCCTCTGGGACCTAGTCTGCTTCTGGGACAGGGGTGCTGTTTCTGGGCTTGCAGGGGGAGCCCCATCTCCTGGCCTGCCTGGGGGGGACGGCAACCTCAGGGGGTCCCTCGGCTGGCTGCCTCCTTTCCTGCTCAGACCCTCCCAAAGAGCCTGGGGGGAGTCTTTGCCCCACCTTCTGCTCAGCAGGCTCCGGCTCACTCTGGTCCCCCGCCCACTGCCCCAGGAGACCCACCGGCTATACCGCCTGAAGCTGGAGGAGCTGACCAAGCTGCAGAACAGTTGTACCAGCGCCATCACTCGGCAGAAGAAGCGGCTCCAGGAGCTGGCTCTTGTCCTGAAGAAGTTAGGAACCCCCCCCCCCCCGCCACTGGCCTTGATTCCCCCAAGCCTCCAATACCCCCTGGCCTAGGGCTGGGGGTCAGATCTGGGGTGGGGGGAGAGCAGGCACTGACCCTTGAGTGTCCCAGGGCATGGCTTCTCCCCCTGCTGGGCCATGTTCACCTCCTGCCCCGCAGGTGTCAGGTGTGCTACTGGGTGGGGGTGTGCTGCTCTGACTCTGGCTTCCGTGGGCCCACCTACAGATGCAAACCCTCCCTTCAGTCGGGGGCCAAGGAGGCCGCCCAGGAGCTGGAGAACCAGATCAAGGAGCGCCAGGGCCTCTTCTTCGATATGGAGGCCTATTTGCCCAAGAAGAATGGGTGAGACCCTCCCTCCCCCAAGCTCAGTTCCCAGATGCCCCAGGAGAGTGGCCTGAAAGCGTGGTCTCCTCTGCTTGGTCACTTGGCCAGCAGATGGTGCCTGGACCCACTGTGGGCTGAGCAGTCAAGCTGGCGGGGCAGCTCAAGTGACGGTGACAGCTGACGGAGATGGGTGTTTTGTGATGGAAGGACAGGGAATGAAGGAGCACAGTGAGGGTGCCTCGCCCAGCTTGGAGGTCAGGGAAAGCGTAGAGGCTCAAGGAGGGAGCCTGGCAGGCACAGGAGGGTGGAAACGGCGTGTGTGGCCAGAGCTCAGGGTGGGGGGTGGTGATGAGACCAGAGGCCAAGCCAGGCTTCGGAGCTGGCATCGGGCCCTAAGTAGGCTGGGCAGAGCGACCCTTAGGCCAGCCATGGTCACTGAGGGGAATGGCAGGGGCCAGGGCGCAACCCTAGGGTGAGTAAAAATCATCCAGGGGAGGCCTGGGACAGCAAGATGGCTGGAAAGGAGCATGTCCCAGAGGGCGACGGCGGGAAGGAGCAGCTGATAGCCTCAGATCAGACAGCCTGGTGATGGGGGTGGTCAGGAGCCATACAGAAGGGGCAGTGTCTCCTGGAGTCAGGGAGGGAAGCGCTCTGCAGGTTAGTGGAGGTGGAGGTTGCTAATGGGGGGACAGGCGAGTGTAGGCAGCTCTTCAAAGCTTGGCTGGGAGCAGAAGGCGAAACCAGCGAGTGGAACTCGGGGTGGGGGCGGGAGGAGGCTTGTGCTCACGGGTCTGTGTTACTTGGTACCCAGGGAAGACTGGAGCACATCTCCCTGCCGAGAGCCCGGGCCCTTGGAGCACAGACCCAGCAAAGGGAAACCGTTGGGGAGGTGGGAAGGGCGGGGCGTGGGCCCTTCTCTCTTGCGATGGGAGGGTGTTGAGAGCGTGTGCGGGGGGGGGGGGGCCTCCCCGGAGATGTGAGATGTCAGCCGGGAAGGAGGGTTTGACAGGGCCTCTGCAGGGATGGCGTAGGGAGCCGGTGGCGATGCTGAGAGGAGGCCCGGTGCAAGTGCCCACTGCACCCCAGCGTGTCTTTGCGGCCTGGGGCAAGTCCCTTAACCACTCTGAGCCTGTGCCCAACGGCCCGAGCATGAGCAAGAGCTCGTGTGTGGGTGTGCTGCGTCCTGCACACGTGGGACTTGGTCACCTCTTGGGGTTCGTCTGGCAGAGAAGGGCCGGACAGGCTCCGTCGGTGGGAGTGACGGTGGCAAGAGGCTGGGGGCGGTGGGGTTGACAAGGGGCTGACGTGGAAGGGGGGCCTGGGGACTCAGCTGGCCTGGGAAAGGAGAACTGGGGTCGGGGGGCCTGGAAGCCTCAGTGAGGGTCAGGGTCCGCCCAGTGAAACCGGCTTGGGAGGCTGGGCACTCGGGGTCAGAGTGCGAGCAGTTTTTGAGGGAGCCCTTCCTGGCTGGGAGGGGGGCCCTGGTGCGGCCATGGTGTGGGGTGCTGCGGTGGACTCAGGGCCGAAGGTTCTCGGAGGTAGTGGGAACCTGGGGGTGAGGGTAGGTGACGGGGTGGGCGTGCACACAGGCGTTGAGTCCTGCCCAAGGCCCACAGTGGCAATAGGGGCCGCGGGCACGGCTCCCATGGGGTGGGAGAGCCCGGCTGCCCCGGAGGCCCTGAGGGGGGACCCCAGGAGGGGGGAGGAGAGGGAGGGGATGTCGGTTTGCCCTGGAGCAGGCAGAAAGGCTGCGCCCTGCTGTTTCCTTCCCGTGGAGCTGGTGTGCCTAAGCCGCCGCCGTGGGAAGCCGCGGGGGGCGGGGGGGGATCGTCCCTGGCTCTGTGCCACTGGCTTTCCTCTCCTTGGGGGCCTCTCCTTACCTGGTGTCCCCCTCCCCTAGGTTGTACCTGAGCCTGGTTCTGGGCAATGTCAACGTGACACTCCTGAGCAAGCAGGCTAAGTAATTCGCTGTCGTGGGCTGGGTCCCAACCCCGCTCTCCACCCTCCCGGGTCCTCTCCGCTCTGGGCCCCCCCCCCCGCTTCCCGGGCTCAGCCCCCCCAGGGCGCCGGCCCCGAGCCGCCTGCAGAAGCACCGTCCAGAGCGGGAGCCTCCCTCCGGGCCGAGGCGAGGGTGGGCCCTGCCGGCAGCCCAGCCTGCGCCACGAGTGTGTGCCCACCCAGGTTTGCCTACAAGGACGAGTATGAGAAGTTCAAGCTCTACCTCACCATCATCCTCATCCTCATCTCCTTCACCTGCCGCTTCCTCCTCAACTCCAGGTGGGTGTCCTGCTGCTCGGGGCCGCGCCCCGCTCCGTGCGGGCGCCGGCACCCACGTCCTCTGTGCCCTCCGCAGGGTGACGGACGCCGCCTTCAACTTCCTGCTGGTCTGGTACTACTGCACGCTGACCATCCGGGAGAGCATTCTCATCAACAACGGCTCCCGGTGGGCTCCCGGGGCGGGGGGGCCGGGGGGGGCATGGGCCCCGGAGGAGCAGGCCCGGGATCGGGGTACTGGCTGCCTCCCACCGCAGTCTGGCTCCCCGTCCCCGAGCGCCGATGGGGCCAAGGGGAAAGGAGTGACAGCGGCTTCCCGATACAGGATCAAAGGCTGGTGGGTTTTCCATCATTACGTGTCCACCTTCTTGTCGGGAGTCATGTTGACATGGTGAGTGGCCAGACTTGGCTCCCAGGGCCTGGGGGGTGGGGGTGGGGGGCAGGGGGTGCAGGGGAGCGCGGAACAGAGAGAGAGAGGGTGTCCCTGAGCTCCCTCCCCTTCCTGCTGCTTTCTGCCTTAGGCCTGACGGCCTCATGTACCAGAAGTTCCGGAACCAGTTCTTGTCCTTCTCCATGTACCAGAGTGAGTGTCTCAGGGGACCCCGCTCTGCTCGGGAGCCGCCCCCCCCCACGGGGACGGGGGTGCCGAGGACTGTGAGCTGCAGCCCAGTTCCGCTGCCCCCCACCCCCAGGCTTCGTGCAGTTCCTGCAGTACTACTACCAGAGCGGCTGTCTGTACCGCCTGCGGGCCTTGGGCGAGAGGCACACCATGGACCTCACTGTGGGTGAGCCGGGCCCGGCCTCCTCTCTCGGGAATCCTGACGGGGGCCGGGGAGGGCCCGTCCTTTCCCGACCACGTGGGGCTGAGAGACCGTGTCTCCCCCCCCCCCCCACCCCCCGCAGAGGGCTTCCAGTCCTGGATGTGGCGGGGCCTCACCTTCCTGCTGCCCTTTCTTTTCTTTGGACATGTAAGTTGTCTCTGCCCCCCACCGGGTGGGGGCCGGGCACCCCGGGTTCTGGCTGTGGACCCTCGTGGGGACCGGCTTCTGTTTGAAACCCTCCATCCCCCCCCCCCCCCCAGTTCTGGCAGCTTTTTAACGCACTGACCTTGTTCAGCCTGGCCCGGGACCCCGAGTGCAAGGAGTGGCAGGTGAGCCCGGGGCCCCGGGGAGGAAGGAGCCTGGAGGAAGGCGCCTGCGCAGGCCAGCGCCCGCCCGGGACTGACCCCGCCTCTCCCCCCAGGTGCTCATGTGTGGCCTCCCCTTCCTCCTCCTCTTCCTTGGCAACTTCTTCACCACCCTGCGGGTTGTGCACCAGAAATTCCACAGTCAAAGGCATGGGAGCAAGAAAGAATGAGTCTGGGCCTGCCCGCCATGCCCCCCCCCCCCCAGCTTGGCAGGGGCTTCCGTCCCCTTTGAGGGCGTAGGGGGGGGGCTCCCCTCATCTGGGAGGGCCCCTTCTGTTCTCCCTGGGGTTTTGTGGGCTCTGTGGGCCCCGAAGGCGATGCTGGAGAGGCCTGGGCCTGGGCTCCGGGCCTGCAGGGAGCTGGGGGCCAGCAGCCTGAATAAAGGAAGAGTGGCAGAGAGGTGGCTTGAGGTGTGTGCTCTCCCAAGGGTCAGGCGCGGGCCTCAGCGCCACCCCTGCACGGCCTCTTGGGGGCTCTGAGTTAAGTAGACCCAGGGGGAGACCCCGGATCTACCCAAGAAATAGCAGTCAAATACAGAAAACAGAACTTTATTCCAAGGACCAGAGATTATTTAAAATTATTTACAGTCATTGAAAATAATGTGGAGGGGCTTGGGGCCCAGCTCAGCTGAGAAGAGCCCCTTCTGTACGGCCCCCGAGGGCCTGAAGTGTTTACAAAATACACACCCTTGACCCGGGGCCGGTGTGCGCCTGGGGCCTGGACCAGTCTCTGCTCCCCGGGGGCAAGGCCGTGCAGAAACCACCCAGGACACCCAGGGAGCGAGGGAAGTGATTACATGGGGAAGCAAGTCTGCAGGGGCCCGAGGGGCAGGGGCAGGCCGGGCGGCCCCTAGCTCCACACGTCCAGGGAGTAGCGGCCCTTGGTCATCAGCTTCTTGATGTAGTCCACGGCCTGGGCGTGCTCCATGGGCCCCCCGTCGGCCACGATGTCGTAGAAGGCGTTCTGCACGTCCCTCGCCATGTTCCGAGCGTCCCTGGGGCAGGAAGGAGGGGGTGCTGGGTGGGGGGGCCCCCCCCCGCGGGCGGGTGGGCCTCGCCCCTCCCCCCTGCTCTGCCCTCGCCCCTCCCCCCTGCTCTGCCCTCGCCCCTCCCCCCTGCCCTGCCCTCGCTCACCCACAGACGTAGATGTGGGCCCCGCCCTCGTGGATCAGCTGCCACAGGTGCTCCTTGTCCCTCCTCAGTAAGTGCTGCACGTAGACCTGGGGGCGGGGGGCACTGTGAGGAGGGCCCCCCCCCGGCCCCAGCCCCGAGTCCCAGCACCCCGGGCCGGAGGCCTCACCTTGTGGGGCTGCTCCCGGGAGAAAGCCACGTTGAGCTGGGTGAGGGAGCCGTCCTGGTGGAGCCCGGCCAGCTCCTCACGGTACAGGTAGTCTTCGTCCGAGCGGCGGCAGCCATAGTAGAGCAGCGTCTCCCCCACCTCCTTGCCTGGTGGCAGGGCAGGGGTGAGGCTGTGCTGGGCGGGGGGTGGGAAGAGGCACGCCCCACCCCCGCGGGCCCCCGCCCCGGGCCCCCGCGCTCACCCTGCTGCCGCAGCCAGGCCCGCTCCTGGATGAAGCCGATGAACGGGGCCACCCCGGTGCCGGGACCCACCAGGATGACCGGCGTGGTGGCCTTGAAGGGCAGGCGGAACTGGGACTTGCGCACGAACATGGGCACCAGGGCCCGGCCGCCGTTCTCCCCGGCGGGCTCCTTGGCCCGCAGCCAGCTGGTGGCCACACCTTTGTTGACGCGGCCGGACTTGGTTTTGTACTCCACGGCCACCGCACAGATGTGCACGGAGTTGGGGTGGACCTGGCGGGGGCGGGGCAGGGGTGAGAGCGCGCCCGAGGCCCCTTGCCGCTGGCCCCCCCCCCCCCCCCCGCCCCGAGGCCGGCCGCGCACCTTGGCCGGGGGGGGGGGGGAGGGGGGGGGGGACGGGGGGCGGGGCAGCGGCCACATGGTCCCCAGATCCATACGGGGGGGGGGGGGGGTTCGGGGGGAACGTGAGGCTCAGGAGGGGTCCAGGGAAAGGCGGCCCGGAGGCCCTGAGTGGGCTGGGGCAGGGGGCGGCTGCCGGCACCTGAGTTTGGAGTCTGAGATGTCTAATTCCAGGTGCATGAAGTGGCGCTCCGTTCCCTGGTTCAGCTTCCGGTTGGCGGTGACAGCAGCCAAGAAGGGATTCTTGGCATCGAAGGGGCTGGGTGGGGAAGAGGGCAGCGCAGTGATTGGCCGGGACTTCAGTCTGAATCTCCCTGCCCCCAGGGGACCCCTCGGGTTTCACGGAACACAGGGAACCTTAGAGCCGGCCTCCAAGGGCCCCAAGGAGGCTCTCCAATTATGTGAAAGGTTCTCCCAGCCTGATCCAAGGCAGGGCCCCCAACAACCCCCCAAAGTGGGCAGAGCTAGGTTATCAGTTCCCTATTTGCAAACAAGGAAACAGAGGCTGGCCCCTAAAACCCGGGGAGACCCTCCACATGCTACCTGTTTGTGGGCGGAGTGCGCAGGGGGACCAGGCCCCCTTGAAGATGGCTCCCCAAGACCGAGGGTGCCCAGGCCCCCCAGTGACTGTGGAGCAGAGCTCCTTCACCCCACATGCCCTGGACCGTGCACCAGCAGATAGTTTTACTCTGCACAGTCGCTGGTCTTAAATTCTGGGGATGACCTTCTCCTGGGCAGCACCCAAGAGTAAGGTGAGTCAGGGGCCCGAGACAGGAACACTGTTTTTGGACAAAAAAGTCCAAATACCAAGGCGGGTTTTAAGGAAAGTGAGCCCTTCTGCCAGAGTTCGGCCAGACTCAGGCTGTCCTGGTCCAGGCACGGATCTGGGCCTGGATCTTTACAGGGCAACAATGTCAAAGGAAGCGCTAACGGAGCCGGTGCCAGTCTCCCAGGTGCCGTGCCCTGGCCTGAGGGACCACTGGGAGGGCCCGGGGCGGGCGGCCTCCGCCTCTCTGCTCTGGGCCTTATGCCCTCCTGTACGGTGGGGAGGAAATCATGGGCGCCCCCACCCCTGCCCGCTCCGTGACGAGGGTGGAGATAAGGAGGGGACACAGGACTGCTGGCTGCCCAGTGGCAGTGGACCCAGGGCCCCGGGCCCCCCCGCGCGCCCTCTACTCACGGTTTCTGGTTCTCGTAGCTCTTCAGACGGCCCATCTCTCCCACGTACACCTTGGCCGGGTCTATGTCTGGGTGGACCACCAGCCCATACTGGCGAATGCTGGAAAGGGGAGACAGGGTGAGGCGGGGAGGGGCCCGAGAGGAGGGAGGCTGCCTCAGGGACAGGGCCTGAGACCATGCCTGCCACGCTGCCACGGGGAGGGTCCAGAGGTGGTGGGAAGGAGAGGGAGCGGACGCGGAGGAGGGCTGGAGCGGCCTGGGGAGCCGCCAGCTTTGAGGCCATTCCGTGAGAAGATAAGGAAAGCCCCCTACTGCCCAGCACTGCCAGGCAGGGCCCACGTGCCCGGATCCGGGCCCCTCGCACTCTGGGACTCGGCTTCTACCGGCTTCCCGCAGGCCAGCTCTCCCACCCTTGGGGGGCCCTCACTCCCTGCCCAGCCCACGGGCACACACTCACCTGCACTCCTCTCCAGTGGCTTCCACCCCGAAGTGCTCGCACACGGCCGGCCAGAACTGCTCACGCCATGTCAGGAAGTCCTCCTCCAGGCTGGCGACACGAGGGGATGAGCCCGGCCCCAGGGAGCCCGAGGGCCGCTCGGGGATGTAACCCACGGCGCCGGGCAGCATTTGGAGGGTCTGTGCAAATCCCGGGGCCGGGCCAGCCGAGAGGAGGGGGCAAGGCAAAGAAGGGGGTGCAGGTGGGGGGGTGGGGACCGCCTTCCCTTGCGCCGGGGTGTGCCTGGCAGGAGGCTCGTTGACATGTGGCTTTGCACTCCCCTCCCCTCCCCTCCCCTCCCCTCGTGTGCCACAGTGGGCCCTAACCCCAGTGGGCTCCGGGTCGGGCGGCGGGGCGGGGCACTCACTTCCCATCGTCATCGCCCATCCCCAGCTCAAAGATCCGCTGGGCGCCGAGCTGCTCCAGCCGCTTGTCCACGTACTTGCCCATGGCATTGAAGTGCTCATAGGTCTTGTTCCCAAGACCAAACACCTGTGCAGACAGAGGGGCGGGTCTGAGGCCTGGTCAGGGTCAGGGGTGGGTTTCCCCAGAGCCGGCCACGCCGCACGCACGCTCGGGCCTCCACGGCTGCCAGATGCCTGGCATGGTGAGGTGGGCCACCTTGGCCCCCGGAAGTAGCTGGGTTTTGGTGACCTGCAGCCTCTAAGCCTCACCCTTGGGTGAGCAGCAGGGGCAACTCACCGTCCCTACCCGGCGCTCCTGGTGCAGCCAAATCGGGGCCAGCCTGCTCCACCCTTCCCACCTGTTGTCTCCCGCAGCCCTTGCCCCCGGGGAGCAAAGTGGGGCTGGGGACAGGGGAGGAGACGCTTTCAGCACGGGGCCCAGGCCAGAAGAGAAGGCTGTCCCCGGAGCAGCCTCCCCACCGGCCTCCCTGCCAGGCCCCCCAGCTTGAAGCACCCTGGCCGATCAGAGCGAGGTGGGAACAGGAGGGAGGCTTTCCCCTTGGACATGGGGTTCCAGAGGCCCGGGAGAGGCACCACAGGCAGGGAAAGCCACTGCAGGGAATATGGGGTGACTCACCGCATACTTGACTCCAGTGAGGTCCAAGTCAGTCTCCTGGAGCCAGTCGTAGAAGTCCTGGGCGTTGTCTGTGGGGTCCCCCTCACCATAGGTGGCCATGCAGAACACGGCCAGGGAGTTCTCGATGTCTGGCAGGCTGCCCAGGTCGGCCTGGGGACACAAGAGCGGGGCCCGGGCCCAGCAATCCCGACTGAGCCACGTCAGGTCTGTGCCTGATGGGATGCAGAGAGGCGGGCCCAGGCCCTGCCCGGGGCAACTGCCAGCCAGGGACATCCCACAGGCTCCGGGTCGGCCGGGGATTCCTTCAGGATGGGGCACTGAGCAGTCAGGGAGGGCTACACGGAGGGGGCTGGCATCTGAACCGGTGCGTGGGGCAGTTAGACATCTGCAGTTTGGAGTGGAGGGGGGTGCATTTCCCGAGGGGAGGGAACAGCAGGCACAGATGAACACGGGTGAGGGCCTGGGTGCTGAGCCCCCAGCTGGCACTCAGAACCTGGGCCCCTGGGGGAGAGCCTCCTCGTCCTGCAAAGTCCCAGGGGCACAGCGGAGCTGGGCTCTTGCAAATTTCTAACCAACCGTTGACCAACCTAACACAGAGATCTGCAGCCAGAGGGGTGGCTGTGCTGGTCCCTGAGACTGAAGGACGCTGGGCCGCGTGCAGGTCAGGTCTGGGCCATGACCCACAAGGACCCCATCCGCGCAGGAGAGCAACTCCGGACTTCTCCCAGGACCACCTGTTCCTGGCCAGCCTCTTCCCCTCCCTGGGGCCAGGGGCCTGGCTGGCATTAGCTCTCCTACCTCCCCGCCCCATAAACAGGCAAGCAGATGGCTGGAAGTTTCCATTGCCATGCTCAGGGAAGGACAAACAGCCACTGCCAGGAGGCCAATGAGCAAGGCGAGCCTGCCCTGCACCCCACCTCCAAGAGAGACTGGGGTTAGCGGAAAGCAGGACGTGAGCACTAAGTCTGGCAGACAGGCCTGCGGTGACCTGAGGGGAGCTGATAGGAGACAGAGGCATCCTGCAGCTCCCAACAGGGGGCCTTAATCCCCAATTCTCAGGCTCCCTGGGCCCTTCCCTCCGGCCCTGTTCCTGTTCCAGTTAATACATGAGCTAATACAGCCTCATTTCACAGCCCAGCGGCAGGGCTCGGTGCGGTGCCCCCCCCCCCCCCGGGCTGCCCGGCCTGCCTCCCCTGCCACTGCGGTTTGCGGGCGCAAGGGAGAAACGGGAAACACTTCCTCCCTGGACTACTGAGACCCGTTCATCCACTAGGTGCCTGAGTCCCCTCTCCCTGCACCGGCCAGCCCGGGGAAGCCTAGGGCGTGCGGGGCAGGGGAGGCTGGACGTGCACGGCGCCGGGAGCTCACACCTGCACACTCCTTCCGCTGGCTCAGCCCCTTACGTGTCTCCATGCTCCGGACGTCTTCGTCAATGCTACTGGAAGGGCCAAGGTGCGGGGAGTGCTCACCAAGTCATACTCCTCGGGGTCTGCAGCCATGCCCCGCATCCCGTAGCGGTGGGCGTCCTTGGACAAGCGGTTGGCAAACTCTTCCGCCGTCCCCGTCTGGGAGCCGTAGAACACGATGATGTTCCTGCCCTAGAGAAGACCAGGCACGTGGGGTCAGTGAGGGACCAAGAGCCACAGGCTTCACCTGAGACTCCAGGTGACGCAGGGCAGGCTAGGCAGGTGGGGTCCCTCAAGGGGACCCTCTTCCTTCCTGCATCCAGTCCTCCTAAGTCACTCCGGGGCAACCCTCTTGCTGCCACGGCTACTGTGACAGATGGTGACCAAGGCCACCCAGACACACAGCTGCTCAAGATCACGCTTTGGACAGATTATTAAATGACACGGGAAAAAAACAATGTAATGTTCAGTTAAAAAAAAAAGTGACCAAACAGGTGTGTACAGTATACTCCCATTTTGTTCCAGACATCGTGTGTACCCTCTATGCGTTCTTATACACACACGCGCGGGGGGGAAAGACTAGCAAGCGGCAGACCAACAGTCTCCACATGGAGAACTGTGCGTGATTACAAAATATTCTTTATAAAAATCCAGACGATAGGAAAGGTACCCAGTGGATGGGCTCCCATGCTCTTCACTCCACCCCCCTCTTCCTGTGGCCTCTCCCGCAGCTGTTGGGAAGCCAGACCCCTATTCCCCAGACTCCCTTGTGGCTTGGGGTGCAGCAAATTAGGCCCAGCTGCCTGGATGTGTTCTGCAAGAGCTGGGAGGCGGAAGTGAGGCATGTCCACTTTCCGGTCCCCTCTGTAACATGATGTCTCTCTGCGGTAGGTTACCAGTGCCCTCAAGCCCTAGACTGCTGTCTGGTTTTTCCACGGAGCCCTAACGTGTGGGTACAAAGGGGAAAAAAAAGTATGGATTATAATTGCTTTAAATTGTTCTCATACCTTTTCTATTTCCTGAATGGCCTACAGATCATCTACGAAGGTTCTTTTAAAGAATCGTTACAAAAACTAGTAAAACAGGGAAGTCTTAGGATTTCAGGTTAAGAGGACAAAACAGGGTATGAAACAGTACCTAAATGTTTACAGTGGCATCAAAACATATGAAGTACTTAGAGAGAAGCCTTCCGAGGAACCTGCAAGAAGCTCCCGATGAAGGCTTCAGCTGAAGCAAGAGGCCCGGAGTTTGCACACAAAGACTCAACGTTCAAGAGGTCCGTTCTCCCCCCATCAATCCAGAAACCAACACCAGCCAGCGCAACATCCGAACAGCTCTTTTTACCTCCACAACTTCATCCTCGAGGTCGTGTGGAGAAATAAATCCCTCCGCTGGAACGTGATTTGGCAACGAGAAGGAAAGCAGGGCCGGCATGTGCCACAAAACGGAGCCCGAAGCCACGAGGCTCAGTGAAAGGTGCCGGACATCAGAGGCCACACACGGAATGATTCCGTTTATAGGAAAGGTCCCCAACAGGCAACTGTCCAAGGGGCCCAGGAAGTGGACGAACGGTTGCTTCAGGCTGAGGGGGGTGCGGGTTAGGGAGTGGGGAATGGCTGCTAATGGGTACAGGGTGGCTTTTTGGGGTACAGGATGTTCTAGAATGGACTGTGGTGGTGGTCGGTGCAAATCTGGGAATACATTCAAAGTACTGAAGTGTATACTTTAAAAGGGTGACCTGTATGGAACGTGAACTGTATCTCACTAACGCCATTACCCCAGACAAATACATATAAAAATAACGGCCAGGAAAACAGGAAAGTAAGAGCTGGGGTGGGGTTGGGGGCGGGGCCTAGCAATATGGAAATTAAAGCAAGCTTTGTAAAACCTCAGTAACTGAAACAGTAGGATGTTGTCCACAGATGGCCAAAGTACTGCGACAGGAAAATCTAGAAAAAGGCCCAAATACAGGTAGGAAACATATATTTGATAAACCCAGAGGGGAAAAGACGGGCACAACTGCATGGAGCTTAGCAGTGGATCCACACCTCGCATCGTACAGCAGGATAAATTCCCAACAGACTGAATTTTAATTATGAAGGAGAAAGTATTAGAAAGCAGTGAAAAAAAAACGTGCAAGGATTCTTTTCTCTTTAGTGTTAATGACTCAAACTGCAAATAACTGAAAGTCCAGAAGTCATAGGAGGAATAAAGTGCACTCACTGAATAACTTCACACGGCAACACACACACACACACACACACGTGCACATGAACCAGGTCAAAACACAAATTTTTAACTGGGAAAAATATTTGTAACTTGTGTCACGAGCAAGGGGTTACTCTCCATCATTTTAAGGAATTCCTCGAGAAGGATCAATCCCGACAGAAGAGTGGGCAAAAGATTTGAAGAGAAAATCTATAAAAAAAAGAAATGCCATTGGCATAACACACAAGAATCTGCTGAAACCCATTCATAAGAAAAATGCAAATTGGAGATGGCTTTTTTTTTAACCTAGAAAACTGGCAAACCTCCGAACTTGGATGATAAACTCTCCTGGCAAGGCTGTGGGCAACAGGTTTGCCCACACACAGCTAACAAGGGTGCACTCGTGTGACCCCGGGACGGGCGGTGGGGGGGGGGGTGATCTGGCAGCTTCTATCACAACTACAAATGCACACACCTTTGGATCCAACAATTCCCCTTCTGGGATTTTACTATATTTGCAGATGTGGACACTGGTCTCCAGAATCCCAGCAGCATCGTTTGTAAGAGCTAAAGGTTAGAAATAGTCCAACGGCCCCCCCCACAGGGCAGAGCAAAACCAAAGGATCATATTCACAGTCACAGAATGAAATCACTAGGCAGCTACAGTCAAGGACGGGGAGTCTTGGAATTGCTATGGAAGGAGCTCTGACACACAAGTTTAAAAAAAAACAAAAACAACCAGGTACAGAAAAGCATGGTTTATGACATGTATGTAACTGCCACCTTTTGTGTTCTGAAGAGATGTAAAATAAGGATCTGGGGGTTTTTTGGTGGCATCGAGGAGCCCTAGAAGGATCCACAAAAGGCTAAGAACAATGGTGATGAGTGGCAGGGACAGAAGAGTTCGGGATTTTAAGCGTTTGAATGTAGTACTTTCCCATAAAACGAAATACTTCAACAAAACCAGAGAAAACCATAGCTGAGCTCCGGCCACAGCTGTATGAGGTTTCTACCTGCTCGAGCCCGGGGCCTGGACCGGGAGGGTGGACAAGGGAGAGCCCCCCGAGTCGGAGGGAGGGGCTAGTCTTACAGTGCAGTTGGTTCAAGACGTAAACATCCGAAAAAGAGGGTAAGCCTTCTGGGCAGGGCAGAGCAGCTTCAGGCTTGGGTTAGCTGAGAATGTTCGCGCCCGCTCTCCCCTCCTGTCCAGCGGAGCTGGCCTTCCTCCCCCGTCCACCAGGGCCACGACGCCCCCCGGGGAAGGGCACAGACATGGAGAAAACTCACCGTCTTCTTCATCTTTTCCACAAAGCTGCTGTCTCTGACAGAGGAAGTCCTGAAAGACAAAAGCACCCGGTGGGCATGGGATGCGCGTGGCCCGGGGGCAGGACTCTGAGCTCCCCTCCGGCTCAGCCTCCGCACATCCTCTGCAGCCAGTCCAAAGTCTCTCGAGACGTGACCGTGACCGCTGCCAGAGGCAGGCCCTCCAGCCCCCAGATCCATGCGAGCAAAGAAGGGTCAAGGACATTACTCCCGTCCCTCGCCATCCAGCCAAGGGTCCCGATGGCCCTGTCTCACCTCCAATCCCTGCAGGCTCCCACCCCCACAGACTGGGGCATGGAAGTCCCTTCAGAAGCTGTCCCCGGCCTCGCCTGCCACTCCCTTCCACACGCCATACTCGGACACACCGATCTGTACACCACTTCCTCCGGGATGGCCCTCAGGATTGTGTCCCACCGTGGTCTCTAGCCCAGTGCTCCCATCCACTGCCTCACCCCACAGACCCCTGCTCCACTCCCAAGCCCACCTTCCTGTCCCCGTGCAGGGGCCACTGTGACCTGTTCCCTGGGGCCGTGGCACCTTCTAGAACCCTGCGCCTTGTCCTCCCCAGACAGCAGCACCACTGCCGGCCCACCCTCCACCGCCCTGCTGCTGGCCTCCTGCCCCCCCCTCCCGTTCCATTTCCGGTCCTTTGCCTTCTCTTCTTCCTTGCCCAGGCCTGCAGCGTCATCCAAAGAAGCCCAGTGAGGGGCGCCTGGGTGGTGCAGTCGGCTGAGCGTCGGACTCAGTTTGGACTCAGGTCGTGATCTCGGGGTCGTGGGATCGAGCCCCGCGTTGGACTCCACGTGCCATGTGGAATCTGCTGGACATTCTCTCTCCCCCTCCCGCGCGTGTTCTCTCCCTCTCTCTAAAATAAATAAATCCTTAAAAAATGATAAAAAATAAAGATGCCCAGTGGGCCTGGCCAGGGACCCTCAGGCCTAAGACAGCAAGGCGCCAAAACCAGACCTCTCTCTGAAGGGCAAATCTTCGGGATGTGTGCAGTGTGGCCAGTCTGAATAAAGTGACAAGTCTGAACGCTAAAGTGTGGCTGTCTCCATTCAAAACGGCACTGTTAAGGAAATGAAAGGCGAGCCATGGCACGGCAGATGTCTGCAACTTCTGTATATCTGACAAAGGACTCGGGTGGAGAACATAAGAAAACCCTACCAATCAACTAGCAAAAGACTGGATAATCCAACAGAAAAACTGTCAAAAGACCCGAGCAAGCGCTTCCTTAGAGCATCTAACGCTACTGTCGAGAGTAGCCGCATTATTATTAGCCGCCCGGGGAAATGGGAAATAAGACCACAGCGCGGTGTACCGTGTGCTCGTTAGAACGGCTCCTACCAGGAAGAGAGCTGAAGCTGCTGGAAGGGACCTCGGCTCCGCTGCTCCCGAATGCTGCTTGGCAGTCTCTTCTGTCCGCCCATAACCCAGCACCTCACTCCCTGGTGCACACCACACAGAGCACAGCGGGGCCCGTGCATCGAGATACGCGCAGAGAATGTTCCAGCAGTGTTAGACATGTGGGTGCCAAACAGCAAACAACCCTAATCAATGTCCACCCATAGGAGAACAAACCAACCAACCGACGGTGGCATATTTAGACAACGGAATGTTCTCCACCGCGGCATGAATGAATGATCACTACGCGCCCGGGAATGAATAAGTCCCAGGGCGGGGTGCTGAGCACGAGAAGCCAGATGGAAGAGAGAGTGTGAGTACGACTTCATTGTACAAAGTCCCCAAACAGGCGAAACCAATGCACACGGACCGGAGTCAGGACACAACGAGGGACAGCAGGGGCTCCCGGGGCATCGAGAACCACCTGCGCTTTGATCTGGGCGGTAACTCCCCCTTGCTCACCTGCTGAGATCATCTCTCTGCGTGTTACCTGTCTGGAGATATTCTATTTTAATAAAGTTTATGCTTCCACAATTTGCTTCTCAAACCCACTTTTCCCCCCACAAACAACACCCTCGGACCGGCAGGGGTGCCACGAGGGGGAGGGCTGAGCAGGGGCTCTGGAGCGGCAGCCCGGGCTGCAGCCTGCAGATTTGCACCGAGTGAACTTGAACCTGGGCTCCGTTGCTCCTCAGCTTGAAAATGGGACTAACAAATACCACTTTGCAGGCTTTTGCAAATGTCACATGACACAGACATAAAAGGTGCAGCACTGTGTCCTGTGGGGGGAATGGGTGCCCACCTTACAGAGGCCCAACAGCGTATTAGTTTGTGGCCAGTAAGGGGGTCTGGCAAGGGCCCGATCGCAGTCTGACTCTAAGGTCTTTGCCCTTTCCACGACATCCTGCGGCCTCCTGTGCATGGGACAGTGTAATAAAGTCAGGCGCACACCCTACCACTGCATGGAAGTGCTGTCTGTGGGGGCCAGGGGGCTGGAGTCTGTGGAAAGACCAAAAGGAAGCTTCCTTTTAAGGAGGGCTCTGCCAAGCTGTTTAGACACACGATTTTGCAAACGTAAAGGTAGCAGAAGTTCCTGTCTACGCCCCCCCTGGGTTTTTCACTACATTAGGTCCAAGGCCCCAGAGCTCAAGGGCGTTACCTGTGGGGTCCCCTGGGAGGCAGCAGGGTGCCGCTGCCCAGACCTTCCCGCCCAGCCATGGCCCCGCTGCCCAGGAACCTGGAGCAGGCCCTTCCTGACTCCGCATCACCGCACCCAGAGGCCCCCCCCCCATCCCCGCCGCCCCCCGGGGGGTAGGCCCACCCCTCCCGGCAGCAGGGCAAAGAGCAAGCCTTGGAGGCCCTCGGGCTCACACCCCTCCCTTCCCTGCTCCAACATCTCGGACTGCATGTCCGGCTTCTGTCCCTGCCCCGCCTCGAACAGCCCCGTCTTCCCTGCCCTTCCCGTCTGTGTTCTGCCGGGACCAGGACACTCTCCCGGGGCTCGGAGCTGGGACTCCCACCACTGCGCGCCTGCTGAATTCTGAGCCGTGGGAGCGGACGACCTACACTGAAACAAACTAGAATGTGAACGGACGCTTCAGCGACACAAACCTTGCTGATGAGACACTAGAAGAGAAGAGCAGGGTCAAAACCACACGTGATTTCCCTTTGTACGTGGCCACAGCCACCCGAGAGCCACTGATCTGTACGTTTTAAAAAAATGGTCAGAATGGCGAGATTCACAAGGTGTGAGTTTCCCTTCAACCGAAACCGAAAACAAACGAAATGCACTCGGTTGACACCTAAAAAGCGTCCACCCAGTTGTGCCCCCCAATGCTGACCACGACACGGCCTCCCTCCCACGCGGCCGCTTCTGGGGGAGGATGCGCGACCCAGAGGAGCAGAACAAGAGTGTGTGTCCTTAAAGTAATGGAACGCACACCACTAATTATTCCCAGAGGCAGGGCTTCCAGGGAAATACCCCAGCACCTTGAGAGGGGATATTTCGGGCTTAGAACATGAGGCAGGTGCTTCCTATGATGTTCCCAATTTTGGTTTTTCATATTACAAACGCATTTTACAGTTATAAAGGGGGGGGACAACTCCAACGTCTAAGAATCAGGGGGAGGCTGGACAGGGGAGCGCGGATCACATCCACCCGCGGGGAAGGATGTTCATGATACGCTGCCAAGTGGAAAAAGCAAGTTATAGAATAACGCAGGTGACACAGTCCCATTCCGATTAGAAGGGAAGGTACGGAAGGGCACACACGAGCACACTGAAAACTTCCCTCCCAGGGCTGAGCGACTGTCTTTTTTTGTTTCCTTCTTTGGCTGATTTCTATTCCCATGTCCCCCACCCCTCTTTTTCCTATGAGCACGTAACGCTTCTGCACCAAGAAAATAAAAACTGCATCCTAGGTTTAGAAACGTGTGTGCAGACAGATCTGGAAGGCTCTGTCCGACGAGGACAATTAGAATAGCGAAGCCCCGAGCAGGGACCGTATCACAGAAGCTACTCCGAGAAGCACAGAGGCCTCTGGTGCGGAGCACGTCTCGCACCTTCCAGACGCCCTGGGCCACGCCAACCTCCCGCTCACAGCTGCCCTGGTGCCTCTCCTCACGATGCCCTTCCTCTCAGGCCCAGAGCTCCTACATATCCCTTAAGACACAATGTACAAGTTCCTCTTCAGAGCACCTCTCCCTGCTGCTCACATGGCACAGGCCTCCGTCCGGGCCCTCAACTCCATGCTCCCGACTCACTGCTGGATCTGAGGCTCAGGGCGAGCTGCTTGGGCCTCTGCGCTCAGCCCCACGCCCGGAGCCGGAGAAGACTGTTGGAGGGCTCCTGACCCACCTGACATCAGGGTCTGACAGCAGCAGAAAAGCCAACTCCTGCCTCTTCTCAAGGACTAAGGTTTCGTAGAAGCTGCATCTGAGGAAGGGGGATTGGAGACTCGCTCACAGAAGGGAGGAGGGGTGCCCCCACCACCCTGCGAGTGCCAGCACCAGCCTCCGGGGACAATCATGGAGGATGGGAGGCCCACCCTCCGAGGTGGGGGAGGCTCGCGTTTGAATCCCGGATCTGCCACCAAATGGGCCTGTGACAGACGAGTGGTGGCCTCGCAAGGCCTCGGATTCCTCTTACTGAAAACACTGTGTCTTGGCTTCTGCACCCTCCCCTCCCTGTTCCTTGTAGAGCATCCGGAGCCTGGTTAACTCTCAGGGATAAAGAGGGTGTTCCCTAGAAGAAAGCCGTTTGGGTCACTCTGGGGCTTGAAAGACGCCCAGTGGCACCGGGTTGTACGTGCTAAGACCAAAAGGGTGGACCACACTGTCCACCCACAGGGCGTCTGAAACACCAGCAAAGGCCTCGCGGAAGAACTGGGCTCTCTTCTGAGACAGAGAACGGTTCCCAAGGGAAAGCCACAGAAACCGGGCAGCCGACGGGCTCTTGGATGAGGCCCATGCAGCCGGGGGTGGGGAGGGAAGGCGGGCGGAGCTCAGCTCTGGCCGCCCAGGGGTGCGTGGCTCTGACACATGCACGGGGCGGGAATTCCAGGCTGGCAGCTCGGGAAGTGGGGGGCAGGGAGGTGGGGGGCTCGCCAGGCAGGCCTGGCCGGGAACGTTCGCGGGCGGGCGAGATGGGCTAGCCCTCCTGCTCGGGGGGGAAGTTCTCCCTAGAAGCATGAGCACCTCTGGAGGCCAGCCCGGGCCCCTTCAGTAGCTTCAGCCCTGGGAAAGCACGAACACTCCCACCCTCTCCCCTGGGCTCCGGGGGTGGCTTCCAGAGACCCGGGGCGGACCGCGCTGCATGGGGGGAAAGGGAGAGCTGAGGAGACTGAGGAGGACCCGGTGCCTCTAGTCAGCACCCCAACACGGCCCGGTGCGGTTGGCTGATGTTCCCACCGGTTACACGCAGCCTCGAGGAGCAGGAGAACCTGCCCACCCCCACTGCCACGGCCACAGAGCCCGGCTGCCAGCCTCGGGGCGGGGGAACTCACCTGCTCCGTCCATGTGGGTCCACACCTGAGTGCCCTCAACTGGCCCGGCCCCGCCGGACAGCTCCACACTGGGCTGTGTGCCTGGAGCCCGCTCTTTCCCAGGTTGGGGAGCCGGCCACTGGGGCCTTCCTTTGGAGGCAGGGAATGCAGCCTGCAAACCGGGACCCAAGCAAGAGACCAGTGGTCCCGTGCACCCGGTGGGCCCCCCCGGGAACCGCCTGACTCTGCTGGTCAACTCCACAGGGCACCCTCTTCATGCCTCCAGGGCAAGCCTGCCCAGGCGGGGGCCCCCTCCCGAGGTGCATCGGCGCGGGCCGCCGCAGGGACACGTCTGGAACTGACCTTCTCAGGCTGGGCTCGTCCCGCGGAGAGGAGTACGTGCACCCCATGGCTTCTCTCCCGACCCCAGGACTTAAGGGAGAAGGAAGGTTCCGGCCGTCTCCCGGAAATGGGCAGGGAGCCAGCGGCCAGGAACTCGGGCTCTGTCCATCCCTCCGCAGTGCTGGCGGGGCGGGCCGTGAGCTTGGAGAGTGCCCTGGACACCCCAGCCCTGCTGGAGCCTCTGCTGAGCCCTGGCCTGCACCCGTCCCCACGGGCGCAGGGAGGACTCACCACTACAGCCCGGGACCTCCCGCGATCCCCTGCGTTTGGGCACCCGCCCCTGCTCCGCCTGTATGGACCGAGGGAAGGAGAAAACCTTTCCAACCCCGACTCGGGTCTCCTTGGTAACTGCTTATATCGGAGCCCTTTCTCCCTACTTCCTCCCCCCTTCCCAATTGAAAAAAAAAAAGGGGGGGGGGAGTCATGAGGCTGAATACAGCTCTTCTAGACACTAGAAGGCAGGTTGCTATGGCAGGGCTGACTCTCCACAAAGGAAGCCGCATCCATCCCGCTGCCAGGGCGCCTCAGGACCCTATTAAATTAGCTCTGGTTCCCGTCTTCCCCGCCACAAAAGAGCTGTGGGCAACGGAGCCCCAGCCCCCGGGCCTGTGTCACCTGGCAGCAGCCTGTGTGCAGAGAGACCACATCGTGCCCTCCCACTGTGCGGGGGGACAGGCACCCCGCACGGCGGGCCCCACGTTCGCTGCTAAAACATCGCCCCCCGAGGGGCAGCCCTTCCGAGGCACCCTGAGTACAAAGAGCCAGCTGAGGAGGCTGCAGAGGGCTCAGGCTCGGAGCCCAGTGACCATGCGGGTCCAGTTAGGGCTTTCCACTCCTAAACTGGGAGCAGGAGTCTCTCTGGTTCGGGCCTCAGACATCATCTGCAGGCCACCAAGAGGGGAGGACGAGAGAGAGGGGGCACGAAAGCACTGAGTCACTTGGCAGGAGACGAACCCAGCCGTCCAGGTGGTGATTCATTTCATCTCTACTCCCGGGCAGTGCGCAGAGTTCACGAAACTCCCAACTCTAGTGCAATTCTCTACGGGGCGGATGTCTCCTGAGACTTTCCCTGCCCTTGGCGAGCCAGGGGGCAGCTGCTGGGGAACGGCTGCCTTCCAGAGCCCGGTGTGGAGGCAGAGTCTCTGCTCCCCGGGAGCGAGGTGCCCACGACTGGAGAGTGGGGGGCTCTGAGCTGCTACGTGCCGGGCAGCGCCGGGGTCAGGCTGGCTGGCACGGGCTCCAGGACGGGGCCCAGATTTCTCTACCGCAGGCAGGGCAGTTCCCCGGGCCCCGAGGCTGAAAGCGAACGGTTTGCAAGAGCTGCCTTTGATGAAAACGTGATGTGCTGGAGCTTACATACGACCCAGCGGCCCTCTCGCCTATGGGAACAAGAACGGACCAGTAGTGGTGCACCCAGTGGGGACGGGGCCTCTGGCAGGTGGGAGGCCATGGGTCAAAGCCAAAACATGGAACGGGAACTCCGACTTATTGAGTGCCTACTGTATGCCAGCTAGTATTCAAGGAGCTCTATATTGTATTTCATTTAATCCTCTCTACCCCCATTTCACAGCCAAGGACAGCGAGGATTGGGGTATGGTGGGGGGAGGGGGGCAGGAAGCCAACTCCGGGCCACGAAAGCCCAGAGCCGTGGCAGGTCACGACCGCCCCATGAGCAGAGCAGGCTGTGCCTCCCCTATCCCACCCTGTGAGGCTGAGCCCGGCTCACCGGAGTCCCCGGACACGCTCAGAGAGCACCTCATGGTCCTTCCCAGCAATGTCCAGGGCTCCTCGGCCCTCAACATGTGGGGTGCTGTGACGCTCAGGGGTTACGGTTTCCCTCAGGGACACCCTCCTATATTCCCCAGCATGCAGACCAGGACTCTACACCTGCCGTGCATGGCCCAGGTGGCCCTGCCTTCCCAACAGCACGGGGCAGCATGCTGGCTTCGCCCTTCCAGCCCTGCAGACCCCCGGGCAGTGACCCCCAGTTCCCTCGGTGACCCTTGACTCCCTTCCTGACAAGAGACTCCCTTGGTGACCTCCCGTGGTGACGCCTCTCCCAGAGCCGCCCTGCCAGTCCTCACCCTGAGCTTCTGCATGTGCTTCTGCTCTGTGTGCCCCGGCTGCGTCTGTGCTGTGGGCCCGCTTTCTACTTAGCTCCCCAAACTCAGTTTGGGGGCACCTCAATCCTGACACAAGGGGAGGGGTGGCCCTCTTCTGCATTCCCACCGCCTCTAGAAACACTCATTGCTCCCCAGTGTGCGGAGCCCCCGGGGACACTGCCTGGCATGGAAATGGAGTGAGCAGCAGCGAGCCCTGGGTGAGGCCCAGCGATGCCCAGGGGTCCGCGGACGCCCGGCTTGGCAGACAGGCCACCTTCAGAGCTGCAGGCACTAGATCGAACGGCGAAACCACTCTGATCTCAGCAGAGGACGCAGGAAGGAGAGGCAGTGAAGTCCTTCGCGGTCAGGCGGCAGTGGACAACCCCGCCCTGTGCTCGAGGGAGCGGTGAGAATACCCCGAGCCCCTTCTCCCACCACTTCCCCTGACGGTGGGAGGTGTCGGGCACTGCTCACCCTCCACGTCCGCAGAGGCCTCTCCCCCGTGCCCGCCTCTTTGTCCAGCTCGTGTGAGCCTGTTTCACGTTCGGCAGAGCCCAGCACCTCTCTACAGAGAGAGTGACCCTGGACTGGACATAAAAGAACGCTGGCCTTCTTTCCATCCGCCGGCGCTCCAAAGAGGCAGACGGGTGGGCATGAGGCTGGCAGCCTTGACTCGTGGCTTTCCCGGCCCTTCGGTGGAGAGCAAGCCCCAGGATGAAGGTCACGCGGGAAAATGAGCTCCTCTGTGGCTTTTCAGAAGCAAGCCCCAGTGGGATGCCACCAGCAAAATCCAGACTGTGGGAAACTGTGAAACAGACGATCTGGTTTCTGGAACAAAAACGCTGCAGGGAGACACCCGGGATGGAGGGGCAGCCCATCCAGCGAGAGACTTCCTGTCACGTTAAGGAGGAGAGGCCAGGCACCAACGGCTGTAGCTGTGTCATTCCATTCGCATGACATTTGGGAAAAGGCAAAACTACAGGGACAGAAATAAGATCGTGGTCACTTGGGGGGGGTGCAGGGTGGGTGGGTGTTCACTGCACAGGGACACGGGGAATGTTGTACGTCTTGACTATAACACTGGTTATACAACCACATATCTCTGGCAGAATTCACCAAACAGCACTTTTTTTTTTTTTTTTTAAGTAGGTTCCATACCCCACGTGGAGCCCAACATGGGGTTTGAACTCACGACCCTGAGATCAAGACCTGAGCTGAGATCAAGAGTCGGATGCTTAACTGACTGAGCCACCCAGGCACCCCGAACTGCATGCTTTAAAAAGGCGGGTTTTGCTGCACGTAAATTACACCCGACATATCTGACCCCCCAACAGAGAGTCTTACAAGATTTATTTATCAACTACCGTCTTGCTTAGATCCTGAATTAAAAAAAAAAAAAAGTGTTAAAAAAATCTATCAGTTAACCAGGAACTATGAACAAATGCTACTGAGTGTCTGAGGATCCGGAAGCTTGAGGCTGGACAGCCCCGAGCTGCGTTCAAAAAGGAGGCCCTTGAATTTTAGAAGGCTGGACTATTTTAACATTTCACAGAATTCCATATGAAAGATCTCCAAATCTGCTACGAAATCATGATTCCTTCATTCAGATTTCACACGGATGGCATGACTACTTCTGAAATATGATGGTTCTCAGCTAAGCCAGGAGCAGTGGGGAGGGGAGGAAACGTGACTCCACACGGGTGGAGGGCTGCTTACGCCGGGTGACCGGGGCTGACGCTTGAGTTCACTCTTCTGTGCTCTGGGCTTTGGGGTTTGTTTGAAATGTTCCACAGTAAAAAGCTTTGTTTCTCTTTAAGGCACTCTCAGGCGCCAGACGTGAAGCCGAGGTATGCGTGGGGGCACCACGGCGCTCCTCACCTCCAACAGAGCAGAAGAGTCCAGCGGCCCGGGCTGGGTGCAGGCCCCCCTACAAGGGCGGCCCTGGTCAGCTGCACACTGCTGCCAGGCCTCAGCGGGGGCCCAGAGCCTCTGATTTCTTTTTTTTTCCTTCAAGAGAAGCTATAAGTCTGGATTTTATGTACCAGCCTTTGCCATGTTCTAATTTATTTTTTTGGGGGGGAGGGGCAGAGAGAGAGGGGCAGAGAGAGAATCCTAAGCAGGCTCCACGACCAGTGCGGAGCCTGATGCAGGGCTCGATCTCATGATCCTGAGATCATGACCTGAGCAGGAATCAAGAGTCGGACGCTTAACTGACTGAGTCAGTCAGACGCCCCTAAATGTTCTAATTTAAAACAATGTTCTAATTTAAAGATCTAAAACCCCCGTGTAAGCCAAGGCCAGCCTGTGGGCCAGTCCGCCCCAGAGGCAGCCGCAGGAACAGGCTTAGTGCTGACTACTAACAGCCGTTCTCCGAATGTCCCACGCGAGGGTCCCACACAGGGGAGGTGCCCAAGGAGAGGCAGAAATACAAATGCCCACCCGACAAGACAGGTGCTCCACGCAAAGAGGGGGCAGCGGGGCCCCTGGGGCTTCGCCCTCCTGTGGGAACCATCATACCCTGGTGGTCTTTGACCAGGAGCCACCCTGGAACGTTCTGTCCAGGGGCACAAGCTGGGTGGAGGCTGAGGACTAAATGGGAGTGGACAGGAAAGAGCCACTTTTGGAATTACTACCAGCATCGTTAAGAGAATGAGCTGCTCTCTTTAACAAGCCTTTAATTGCTATTACAAACAGTTCAAAAGGCCTCCCCAGGGCATACAACCGTGTTCGTGGACCAGAAGACTCCATATTGTAAGGTGCCAATTAACTTACAGATGTGATCCAATCCCAACTAAAATCCAGCAGGGCTGGTTTTATTCCCTCTTTGGTTTTGGTGGACATTGACAAGCTGGTTCTAAAAGTTACACGGAAATGTCAAGGGCCCAAAGAAGCCAAGCGAATCCTAAAAAAACAAAGCTGGAGGACGTGGCCTACCAGATATAAAGTCAAGAGTGACTACGAAAGCACAGAAAATAGAATAGTGCGGTACTGACGAAGGGACAAAAAAGCAGATCAAAGGCACAAAACAGTCTAGAAACTGACCCGCACTTTGCAGGTCAATCACGGTTCCCTGATTTATATCAACAGTGATGCTGAAGGGCAGTGGGAAGACAAGGGCCTTTTTCAATACCTGGTGCTGGGTCCAGTGGATGGATGCCCACGGGGGACAAAATGAACCTTGAAGCGCCACACACAACCGGCCAATGCCAAGTCAATGTCAGCCGGACAGAGGTCTAAGTTTAAAAGCTACACCAAAGGGACGCCTGGGTGGTTCAGTCGGTTAAGCATCTGCCTGTGGCTCGGGTCATGATCCCGGGAGCCTGGGATCGAGTCCCACATCTGGCTCCCTGCTCAGCGAGGAGTCTGCTTCTCCCTCTGCCTCTGCCCCTGCTTGTGCGTTCTCTCTCCCTCCCTTCCTCCCTCTCTGTCTCTCAAATAAAGTCTTTAAAACAAATTAAAAAATAAAATAAATAAAAAAGATTTATTTATTTTAGAGAGAAAGAGAGAGAGCAGGGGCAGGGGGAGGGACGGAGGGAGAGGGAGAAGCAGACCCCCCACTGAGCGTGGAGCCCGACTCTGCGGCTTGATCTCACGACCTGGAGATCATGACCTGAGCCGAAAAGAAGAGTGGGATGCTTAACTGACTGAGCCACCCAGATGGCCCTCAAGGAAGCTTTTAGAAGAAAACATAAAAAGAACATCTTTCTGACCTTGAGATGTTAAGAATTCTTAACCTGGACAGAAAAATATCAACCGTAAAGGTTTAAGGTCAACCGAAAGGTTGAGGAATTGGACTAAGTGTAAGTCAAGTACTTTTTTTTTTTTAAAGATTTTATTTATTTATTTGAGAGAGAGAGAATGAGAGACAGAGAGCATGAGAGGGAAGAGGGTCAGAGGGAGAAGCAGACTCCCCACTGAGCAGGGAGCCCGATGCGGGACTCGATCCCCGGACTCCAGGATCATGACCTGAGCCGAAGGCAGCCGCTTAACCAACTGAGCCACCCAGGCGCCCCAAGTCAAGTACTTCTGATCATCAAAAGACATGAATAAGAGGGTAAGGAGGCAAGTTACGGGAGGGAGACGATATTTACAGTACGTTGCTCTAACAAAGGCCTCATATCTAGAATATAAAGAACCCTGACAAATCAACAGGGCCCATAACCCAGTGGGAGCGATGGGCAAATTCTTGAAGAGACCTTCACCAAAGGTTTGTAAATGTCCAGTAAAACATATGACAAGGTCACGGGTCTTCACAGAACTGCAAATCAAGACAGGATGCCACCACATGCCTGTTCAAATGGCTACAACAAAAAAGTTGACAAAAACAAGTGTGAGGATGGGCCATGCCGGCGGCGGGCCAGACACTGGGACAGACACGTTGGGAAACCGTTCAGGAGGATCCACCGGAGCTGAATCTAAACCTGCCCCACACCTCGCCAGCTCTGAGTCACGGCACACACGGAACAGAAACATGTCCGTACAGGAACCAAACACGCCCACTAGAATGTTCACGCAGAGCACCGTTTGTAAGTGTTCTCCCGACTGGACCCCGTCGGAATGTCTGTCATTATCAGGATGAAGAAATTACGGCTATTCACATAATGGAAAACCAAATGAGACCAAAGAACGTCACATATACCTCAGAGCATGTGCTCTGTGACACAGATACTGTGGGGTCCATTTTGGTGACATGTCCATCAAGCCGTGCGTACTTTACGTCTGTGCATTATATACACTTCAGCAGAAAGGTGACGAACAAAAACAAAGCAGTCCTTCCAGAACTGACCTTCCCTCTGACCCTCCCTGGTCTCCTGCTCATCTCCCCTGCTGGCCATGGGGACCAGACAGACAAAGGAGTGGCGGGTGGCCTAACCCTGCTAACCACAGCTCACTCAGCCTTAACACAAAAAACAAAAGCCTAAAAAAAAAAAAAAAAAGCCACGGTCTTCCTTCTAGTAGCCTGGCCTCTCTCTTCTCTAGTCACCCCATCCCCCGATGCTTGCAAAGGGTCCAAATCTCCTAACTTCGGGTTTTGCTCGGCTCCCTTGCCCCACCCAGCTACTCCCAGAGGCATCCTCAGTCTCCCCAGTTCCCAAGCCTGCCTCGCGCAGACTCCCGCCGGCCCTCGCGGCTCTTCCCGCCCAGGCCCCCGTGCCCCATCGGCTGTGCCTTCCCTGGGCTCCCTTCTTGGAGCCTCACCATCTCTCTCAGGCCCGCTTCCTGCAGCGCCCCCTCCACCCTCCTCCCGACGGCCCTCCACCCAGCCCTGTCCATCCCCCATGCAGCCCACGTGCGGCCCTGCTGATCAGGCTGACTGCCTTGTCTGCACCCCCCGGGCTCCCCCAAAATACTTTCCACACCAGGAAGGCACGTGGGCCAGCCGGTCCTTCCACCCTGCCTCACCATGTGAGCCATGCAGCCCAGGGCCATGCACAGTCCCTACACTAAGCCTTGTGACTTCCCACTGAGCTGGGGGCCGCGGAGGCTCTGTGCTGCGGCAGAGACCACCTGCACTGGCTGGAGATCGAAGTGGCCAGGGACAGAGCTGCGGGGTTTACAGCAGGAGGGCCAGGCTTATGGCCCCGGGGGGCCAGCTGAGTGACCTCTCGGAGTCTGTTTTCTCAGGTGTGAACTAGGGCACTGGCACCATCTTAAGATGCTGAGGGCATCGCGGTGAAGGGGGAAGCGTGGCTTGTGGAGTCTGCAGGTCTGGCTGGACGACCGGCTCTGCTCCCTGTAAGTTAGGTGACCTGGTCCTCAGTCACTGGCGTCTCAGTATGCTCATCCGCAAAGCGGGGCGATAAAGCCTTCCTTGAAGGGCTCTGGTGAGACTGGACAGGATATTAATAGTAAGGATAAAGACAATACACGTCATTCGGGGGCGGGGCCGCGGCCATTTGCACCCGGACCTGGGCAAAGCACTCACGGATGATTACGATTAGAGCGTTACAGTTTTACAACCCAGGACATAAGGACGGTTATGACCTCCATTAAGAGCCAAGGGCGTGGACTTGGAAAGATTAAGTCACAGGGAACGTCGCACGACTACTCAGCGGTAGAGGCAGGACTCGAACCTTCGTCTCCCAGCTCTGGGGTCTGGACCCACGGCACTGGGAAGGGGTCCCCCGCAGAAGGCCCATGCACTCAGGGCACGGGTGTGCGGGGGATACCTCCACTTTCCAGATGAGCAAACTCGGGGCCACTGGAAACGGGGACCTGGTCACTGGTCCCTTACCTTGTGTACCACACTTTTCTCCTCCCAAATACTTTCCACACCAGGAAGGCACGTGGGCCAGCCGCAGCACAAGAGGCTGGAATCCTGCGGGCCAGCCGGTCCTTCCATGCTGCCTCTGGCCCTCTGCGGGCAAAGCCCTCCAAGCCTTGGGGCGTGACAGCACCTTCTAGAACCTGCTCAACACCAACCCCCCGCGGCACACCTTCCGGTCCCTCTATCTTCAAGTTCCCAGAGGTTGTGTCTCCCTGTCCGCCTGGGGCTGTGGCAGAGGTCCTGATCAGACAATGCACACGAGCGCATTTCCTAGAGCATTTGCACAAAGTACCCCTCGATGTCCTGACTGCGCATTTTCTTTCACGTCAATGCCACCTTTGTCTTCTTGCAGTGCCCAGCACAGGGCTCGACACAAAATACACTCTGACACACGCTGCAGCCACTGGCACCAGGAATGCGCTAGGGGACATCACTGTCGCCTCACCTTATGCCCACACGAGCCCCAGGGGATGGGGTCATTGTCTCCATTCAGCAGACGGGAAAACTGAGGCAGGGCGAAGGGAGGGTCTAGCCCAGGCCCCGCCCAGCGACAGACTGTGAGCTTGATGAACGCGGGGACTTCCTCTATTTTGTTCCTGGCTACCTGGGGCAGAGCGGGGCCTCGGGAGGTATTTGCTGAGCTTTCGAAAATGGAAAATGACTGTCCTGTCCGTGGTACGAGGACTGTGTTCTCTGAGTATAGGCTGTGACATTTGAAGACCGTAAAACTTTTCTGGGAGAGGCAATGGTTACCACAGCTGGAACAGGGAATTTGGAGCCCATGGGACCCTGAGTGCCCAGCCTGGGGATTTCTGGCCCGAGGGGCCCCAGGGCCTGCACCTGGGACTGGCTCTGGGCAGGACTAGGGGTGCCCCCTGAGGGCAGGCCCAGGCCTTGTGGCTCTCAGCACGGGACCTCCCCCAGCACCCCAAACCTGCTGGCAGGCCTCTGGGGTAGGAGTTTGGGTAAAACACAGGCAACAGTAAATGTGACAAAGTGACTTGGTTGCAGGAATGATTCAGAACTCAGGCTTGGGGGGGACAGTGGTTTCATCACTTTGTCACAATGTCCTTTTTTATATCCAAAAACCAGGTGCGCTCTTAAACTTTCTTTCAACTAATTCGCCTTTTTACTTAAACCTTCTTCCAAGGAAGCTTTATGGAAGGTTTAAAAAAAATTAGTAAAGTAAAAAAACAATGTTAAAGTGAGTAAAGTCAAGCTGGACACTGTCTGTGACATCGTGACTTATAATAAATACATATTTGGTCTTCGTACCCTTTCTGCCACAGAGCTCCTAAAACCCTGGGCATTTCCTAAGTGATGCGAGCAACGAAGTGTCTCCCGTTCCTCAGAACCAGCCCCCTTCAGCCACACTGGAGTTTATGTTAATAAAGTGATTCCTGGAAAGCCCCTAAGGACAGGGCTGGTTGGAAGGTGAACCAACCATGTGACAGGCTGGCCCCTGACCTCCGGGGAGGGGAGAAGGGCAGAAGGTGAATGAATCCCCAAGGGCAGATGATTTCATCAGTCATGCCTGCACTGATGTAATGATGTCTCCATAAAAAAACCAAGAGCACGGGGTTTCGAGAACTTTGGGTTTCAGCGTGCTGAGCACTTCCTTGGGGGTGCTTGAAGCAACACAGCCCCCCATGCCTTGTCCCCTGCACCTCTTCCATCTCGCTGTTCCTGACTTACATCCTTTATAATAAACCCATAACCTAGTATGTAAACAGCTCTCCTGAGCTCTGTGAGCCACTCTAGCCAATGAATCAAAGCTGAGGAGGGGGTTCTGGCAACTTCTGATTTATAACTGGTGACACTGGGATTTGTGACCAGTGGCGGGGGGGCTTACCCGTGGGATCCGAGGCTAACTCCAGGCGGACAGTGTCACACCCGGCAGTGTCCGGTGGGTGGGAGAGAACTCTCCACACATCTGGGCACAGAACTGTTTAGTGTGGGTCTCAAGGAGAGCAGAAAAACAGTTCTCCTCCTCCACTGTCTCTCCTAGAGCCCTTAGCTTGAGGCCGCTAGGGCCACTGGGAAGCGTGAGGTGACAAAGATGCCTTAGGGCCAAAGTGCCATCCTGCCCACGTCAGTGAGGCCACGGGACTGAAGCAATTATCTGCATCCCTGTGTGTGGCCCGTGCAAACAGCACAGCACCTCTCCACCCCCTCACTTCGTGAGACAAGATCACAGGCCTGGAGTGAAATATTAACTGGGTGCTGGCGGGAGCTGACGACCTTTAATGCCCCCGAGCTTCAGATGATCTACCCCGTGGAACGGTGCCTTCGACTCTGAACGGTCCCTGTGAGGTTCCATCGAGAAACGCGAACAAGAAACGGACCCGAAAGAACCTCGTGAACCCCCACGTGCTGTGGACACACAAGAGGTTAAGGGAGATGTGAAGCCCAGGCCACCAAGAAGGCACCACCCACGATTCGACCCAAAGGGCCGCAAGGAAGCCTGCACCTCTCTCGCCTGGCTCCCTCCTGACCTGGGCCCACGGATGGGGCCCCGCCAGGACTGACGGGCGGGCTCTGGAAGGTTGAGAGAGGGGCCTTGAGGGGGGTCACTTACACTGGTTGAATTTTGGTGAACTCTGGGACTTCGTCTTTTTTCTTTCTGAAGAAGAACCAATAGGTCAGGAGGCCCACAATGAGGGAAAACAGAATCATGTCCGTCATGCTGAGAAGAGACACTTCTTCGGCCACAGTCTCTGATACGGTGGCGCCGGCATCCATGCGGGAGTCCCCCATGTTGACAGGAAACTGCAGGGAGAAAGGACAGGGATGAGCAGGGTCTGCCTGAGGCCTGCGGGCGAGCACCTGAGCCCCAGAAGCTCCAGCCAGGGTCTCTAGGCCCCAAGGGGGGGGGGCAGCAATAAGCAAAGCACCGGGGACAAGAGCTGGTGGTCCCGCACATGGCCACTGGTCCCTCTGAGACAGCTACAGCCTTGGACCGAAACTAAAGTAGCGAACGGCGCCACGGTGTCCAGAGGGGTCCTACCACTGGAGCTGGGACTGGGCCCCCTGCAAACACAGAGAACGGAAGCCACAGGTTCCCGGTACCACCGAACACCCTCCAGCCCCACAAGGGCTTGGAAGGCTTGGTTCCACACAAGAGTGGGGGCCACTCGGAGGCAAGTCTTTTCCCCAACTGTGCAACAGGCCTCGGCTGCCCCAAGCCCTGCCCCTCCCAAAGGCCTTCAGGACTGGCCCTTGGATGGCTCCTGGGAAATCCCTTCTGAGCCAGGCAATATGCCGCCTGATGAGTGTCTGTATACCTGAGACCCTGGGCCACAGGGATGGTTTACGCTAACCATGTCATTCAGGACAAACGCCTAGGGTTCCGAATCACATCGCATGGGTTTGACTTCTGGGGTGCTGGAAAACCGAGCAGATAAGGTTAGGGACGCGGCACCCCCCGCCTGCAAGGCTGACTCCCAGTACAAGCCCTGCACACCAGGGCAGCAGTGAGCTCCCCAGTAATTCTTCATACGCGTGGCCAGGCACGGCTGCCATGAGCGCTGAGCCTCCGTGACTCCAGTGGGCAAAGACAGGTGGAAGCTCGTGCCTCATTTCTCCCAGACTCAGCCCTGTGAAGCCTTTTCCCTTGCTGGTTTCGGTCTGTATCCTGCCGTGATACACCATAAAAGAGCTTTTCTGAGTTCTGTGAGTCCTGGTGAACCACTGAGGACCCCCAGCACCCCAACCTCGTTCATTCCCTTGAAAGATGCCCAGTTGGTGCTTCCACCACTGAAACCCGGCAGGGAAGCAGATCTGAGTCCACGAAGTCAGCGGGGAGTACCTACAACCCCAGCAGTGCACTTCTGCACTTGACGAGGCCGGGCTCGGCTCTGCAAGGCGCGTTGCTCCATTTTGCAATCCCCCGCTATTACCAAGCCAGCTGTTTCCACCACGACCGTGGCTCCCAGCCTCGGTGGGGAAAGCCTTAGTCATATCTCAGCAGCTCAGGCACAGGAGATTGCCTCACGTCTGACTTCCGTTCACTGTCCCTGCCTCTGGGAGACACCAGGGCACGCCCCTCCCACAGCTGCCCTTGCATCCAAGGGCCCCCAGGAACCAGCTCTGCCCTCCTAGGGCCTGCGGGGCATCGGCCTGCTCAGAGCGGACCCTCGAGCTTGGCCCTCTACTTTCTCATTCACTCAAAGTGCTTTTCTAACGGCTGAGTCCCTGTGATAATCTCAACGCATCCTCTCTGCCATGTGACGCTACAGGACAAATTTAACTCTAGTACCCACACCGAGCACTAGATTATTTAAGGATGAACTTGCGCACGTTGATTATCTCTTCAGCGTTCGTTCGGTGTGTCTTCCATCCAACCCTGGCAGTGTCGTCTGGCACGCCCAGAAGCGTGGTCCATGTGGAAGAGGACCCCGCCCACAGAGTCATGCCATGCAGACCCTCAGGGCCCGGCTGACACAGGAAAGCGCCCCCCCGCCCCTGGCATCCCCCACATAGTAGCAGCCAGCCAACATCCGCTCCCTGTCCCACTGCCCTTCTCCCTCCGGCTCAGGTCACCCAGCCCCCTTACTTTACTGGGGGGAGACTCACGGCCATGAAGCGAAATGACCAATGACTATTTCCTGACATATACGCGAGCTGCCCGTACCACCTGAGAAAGTGGTTCCACGGGGGGTTTCACAGGGACGGTGTGCTGGAGAACAGGGGATCCACACAGTCCCACTCGCCCCACGTTTGGTTCCAGCCACCTAGGCCACTGCCACAGACGCCCAAGGGGCCAGCTTCACAGAGTAGCCGCAGGGAGCCTTTTTAAAAAGCCAGATCATGTCCTTAAGCAAACCCTCAGATGGCTTCATGTCCTACTTAGCACAAAATCTGAAGGCCTTAGCTGGCCACTAGGCTCCACAGTGTCTGGCCCCTCACCTTTCCTCATTCCTCACCAGTCACACAGTCTCCCTGCTACCCCTCAAGCCTCCAGGTCTGCTCCTGCCCCAGGGCCTTTGCACGTGTTAATGCTGTGGCCTGGACTCCGTTCCTCTAGTTATCTGTAGGGTTCTCTCCCCCACTTCATTTAGGTCTCGGCACGCATGTTGTCACCACCTCAGGGAGACTCTTCCTCAGTACAGTTTCTAGTCCTTCTCCCTCCCCGAGCCCACTCACAGCACGGATCACTACCTAGCATTACATCATACGTCCTTCCCACCGGCCATCTCCCTGACTGCAGGGTAAGCCCACAAGAGCAAGGACTTCACTTTGTTCACGGCCTGACAGATGAGGAGCACCTAATGTCCACCTGTTGAATAAATAAATGAACATGTGATTCTAGGGAGGGTGGCTTGGCAACGCCTGGCACATGAATTACCAAGTGGTTTTATCAGCCACAAAGCACAACACGATACATCATTACCACAGTCTGGGAGGCTATGTTCCCTCTCCTTCAGTCTGGTTCTGTCTCTGATACCTGCACTTACTGCTTCCTTCAGCATCCAGGCCACTCTCCTCAAGCTCAGAGTAAGGACCCCACTCATTCTCGCACCTCGTGGAAATGCCCAGGCGCTGCCCCCTGGGATGCTGACTCCCTGCAGCAAGTCAGGGTGGGGCTCCAGCCCCGAGGCCCCACAGAATGGGGGATAGTGCCAGCACTCGGGGGTCTCAAAAGCACTGCGAGGCATAAAACTTCGGACAAGAGTCACAGAGGAGCAACAGAAAGGACCCAGCGACCATTTTATCTGAGGCCTCCTTCTACAGTAGGGAACGGAAGGCTCCCAGGCGGTAAGCAGTTCACCCGAGTGAAAACTAGAAAGGGGACCCTGCTTCCCAGAGGAGGGCTGGGCCTACGCTTCCCGTCCGAGGACAGGAGCAGCGTGCCTGGGGGCTGAAGCCGTGAACGAACTGTTAAACCACGATCTTCATCCTGAGCCACTGGTTTCACACTGCAGCTCACACAGACGCCCATCCATCTCCCCAGCCTAAGCCTCTGCACCGCTGCCCCAGTGCCTCTACACGTGCCCGAGCTGCTTTTCCTCTCGTTGCTTCCTGCTTCAGACCTGGGGTCTGACGACCTCAGCTTGACTGTCACTCCCACGGGTCCTACTTTCCTGGCACGGAACTTGGCGCACCATCTAATGCTCGCTAACTCCCCATGGAATGGATGGAAGGAGTCAATGAATATATTATGACACATGGAATGTAAAATTGTTATCATGAACCGATAAAACAAGTAGACTGAAGAGAAATCTGGGGCTGGTAATGTGTCCATGTGGTAATCCACGAGGACAGATGGTGCTGAACTTTCTTGGTTCATGGGCCTGTCCCCAGGCCCATGGGAATACCTAACAGCTCCATTTATGGACTAGTTAGGTCCAAACAACCACTGGAAACCCAGCTTGGCAAAGACACAAGTCATCCAAAGGAAGGCGGCATGATCTAATGTTAAAACCGTGAAGCAACGCAAGCTGGTATATAATTCACGCGGAATTTGACAGCTGGGACTTCCGCCATGTTGGTAAAATTAGGCGCCTCTGGGAGTCTGTCCTGAGGCACCTCTGCCTGGTCTGGTATAAAATCACTCTCCTCTGCTGCCTGAAATATTCTGATGAGAACATTTTGGACGTCCTGCCTGACAAGAGTGTGCTCCACATCGAATGAGGCAGGGTGACCGCAAGAGAGTCTGTCGGACACACTCCAAGGAGACTTCGGGAGCCCTGTGCACTCTTTCTGCCCTAAAAGGGTCTTTAATCTGTAGGTCGTTTCTTCTTTCTACATTTAGTGAAAAGGAGGAATACTGAACAGTGCAGAGCTCTTGGGGGCCAGATGCAACATTTGTCAGCAACAGAAACCAAAACAAAACCAAAAATGAAATGTACGTGTTTAAACAGCAATTTCTTAACTAGAGCAGGCGCTGCCACCAGTTGGCTGGGACTCCAGCCGAACTTCTTAAAGGCAGCAGGCTTTCATGTTCTCATCTGGAAAATTAGTCCCAGGAAAAAAGGGCAGATCAAAAGACCAGCCAACGAGGTCCTGCTAACCCCAAACAGACCAGATCGTATCTGACCTTTTATTACAAATTAGGTCTGTACATAGAGCTTTCATTTTTATTATAAAAGACAATATACATACAGGAAAAGACAGACATAAATAGGCAGACATATAAGAGAGAAGCCATTCCTCCTGAATTTCAACAGTTGATGCCGGAGGCCAAGGGCAACCCATTCTGGTGCTTCTGAAAAGGCAAACAAGGAAGAAGAGCCCTTTTTCCATCTGACCGGTTTCCAACACTGCAGGGTAAAATGATCCTCTAGGAAGTACTTGTGGCTTTGCCTTTACTGTATCCAATTTCTTTTTTTTTTAAGATTTTATTTGACAGAGCACAAGCAGGGGGAGCAGCAGAGGGAGAGGGAGAAGCAGGCTCCCCGCTAAGCAGGGAGCCCAATGTGGGGCTGGATCCCAGGGCCCTGGGATCATGACCTGAGCGGAAGGCAGATGCTTAACCAACTGAGCCACCCAGGTGGCCCCTGTACACAATTTCTGATCAGTAAACAAGACCGATCAAACAACCTGGCACTGACACGGGTGAGCTGTTCACCTGAAGCAGCGACTAGGAGGGAAGAAGCCCGAGCAAGTGATTTAGTTGGCCCCTTCGGTATGCAGGTCACCCAGTGGCAGTCACTGGCACTTGGTGGCATCCACCCCCAGATGCAGTGGGAACAGCAGCTACACAAGTTCACAAACGTCTGCCAAGGATTAGTGGTTTCAAGATGAGGAAAAAGCCTCAAGGAAGCCAAGCCTGCTTGCGCCTGATAGCTTATCCTCCAGAGACAGGGAGATGCTCAGGGGAAGGGCCCTCCCCAAGGCAGCCGCTAAAGAGCAGTAATCAAGAGAGCCATGGAACAGATTTCTCTGTAGCTAGCATGCCCACAAAGTTCATCCTCCAAACCAAGACACATCCGGTGTGGATATCTTTGGATTTTCCATTTTTAGGGTTCATTCAGCTTCCTGAATCTGTAGGTTTGAGAACTTTCAGCCATTGTTTCTTCAAATACCTTTTCAGCCCACCCTCTTTCTCTTGTCCTGGGACTACGATGACATAAATGTGTTTTGTGACTGGTCCCCCAAGTCCCTGAGGCTCAGTTCACTTTTTTCCATTCTGTCTTGTTTCTCTCTGTTGCTCTCCATTGATCGGGGTAGTTCTGCTCTTCTATCTTCAAGTCTTACGATGGAGCCATTCACAGTTTTCAATTTTCACTATGGTATTTTTCCATTCTAAGATGTCTGTTTGGCTCTTCTTTACATCTTGTATGATTCCAACATAGGTGTCATCTTGATGTTGGAGTGTGTTGATTGGTTTTTCTCA